GGGGGGGGGGTGTCTTGGGAAAGGATCTGTAACGGTGTCCCTGACGCCCCTGGAAACTGCATTAAAGCAGCACATTGTCAGCAAAGGGCGGGCTGTTCTCACCTGCTTGCCTCGGGCGTCAGGAAAGTGGGAAGTTAAAGCCCTTCTGTCTCCCCGGCCTGGTTTGGGTCCAGGTCTAACTGCCTTACAGCGGTACAGGCTCAGAGCAGGCTTCTCCCTGCGCCCCAGCCTAAGCAGTTGGAGTTGCTGTCGGGGTCAGGGTTCTAACCCAGGGTGTTAATTCCGAGACCTCAGGCCTCAGTTTGCATTGGAAGGTGTTGCCTCCCGCCTCCCGCTTCGTCTTCCTAACGCCCAGCTGTGCAGCATGAGACGGGTTTGTGGCGTTTTAGTTTTCAGGGGGCCATTCAAACACTACAATGTGGCTATAAAGCTAAGCTTTTGAAACGTCTTCAGATTTAACTCAAACTCGCATTGTGTAGCGAAACCAAAGGCCCTTCTCAGGCCAAATTTTCGTGGAGAAAAGTGAGGACTGGCAAACAAGACCTCGGTGCAGGCTGCGGGGAACGCGGGCAGGGGCAGGACTCGGCGCCCGGCCACGAGCTCTGGACCTGAGGGTGGGGCCTCGGAGTCTCCCCGGGCCTCTTCCCTCCCCCACCCCACCCCACCCCGCTCCACCGGGGCTTTCTGCCTTCGGGCTGGAACTGCCTGGGGCCGGATTAACCCGAGCCCGAGGCCTGGGGTCTAGGCGGCCCTGCCCATCGCTAATCTCCCCTAAAGGTATTCGTGCCTCGCGGAGGGGTCTGAGCGGAGGAATGCGTTGCTGGTTTCCTGGTGTTTTTTCACAAGGGGTGGCCGAGGGCTCTACTGTGGGTCTTGGAAAACCTGCGTCTTTCTCTTTCTCAACATTTAATCTAAAGATGAAAGGGCCTTTCAGAGTGAGAGGCAGCGAACATGTACCGGAGACCAATTGGGCAGGAGCCCAGATAGGGTCCCGATAAGGAGACAAACAGGAGGGACTGATGGGCCAGGGAGGGGGAGGTACACCCACCGCAGGAAGGCGGCGCTCTCCGCACAAGAAAGGTAACCTAGTAACGCCAGTTCCAAACACTGTTTCTCTCTTTCAATCTGGCGCCCATCCGCTCCGGACTTAACCATATTTGCTTTCTTTTCCTTTCAAACAATTCTTTGGGATACAATGTTGCCCCAGGTTAGGTCCAAAAGTAACTTTGCCGTAATCCTTCAAGGTTTGAGGTTTAAGTAGCTCCAGCTCCATTTTGTTTTTGGATTTTGAGGGCACATTTGTTAAAGCTGGGGCCAGTGAGAGGACAGCTGTGGCTCTAAAACTATTACAGGAAAGAAATGAGCCACTGGGGATTGGCTTTAGCTCCCTTGAAAGTCAAGAGGAGAGGGGGCCAGGAAGATAGGTTCAGGGGGTTCGCCTGGGTGAGTCCCCCTGCCCGCAGCTCCCCCACTGTACGTCTGTGGGGACCCTCCGCCTTAAAGCATGTCCCTTAAAAGTATTTTGTGCCTGAACTTATTAAACATTTGTGTACCTCGCCTGTACTCCTCCCACCCCCCAGATTTGAAGCATGTGCTTCCAGCTCTAACATGACAATTGAGTGGCTCTGAAAAGAGCCTTTGGGGTGAGGAGTGAGGCCGCTTCCTTGCGAGTCTACTTGGAGCTGGTGTACTTGGTGACGGCCTTGGTGCCCTCGGACACGGCGTGCTTGGCCAGCTCGCCGGGCAGCAGCAGGCGCACGGCCGTCTGGATCTCCCGGGACGTGATGGTCGAGCGCTTGTTGTAATGCGCCAGGCGCGACGCCTCGCCCGCGATGCGCTCGAAGATGTCGTTGACGAAGGAGTTCATGATGCCCATGGCCTTGGACGAGATGCCGGTGTCGGGGTGCACCTGCTTGAGCACCTTGTACACGTACACCGAGTAGCTCTCCTTGCGGCTGCGCTTGCGCTTCTTGCCGTCCTTCTTCTGCGCCTTGGTCACCGCCTTCTTGGAGCCCTTCTTCGGGGCGGGCGCCGACTTGGCGGGCTCGGGCATGGTCGGGAGCTCAGTGGATGCGGTCGATGGGAGGAATAGTAAGGACGGGGCACACTGTGTCCTATTTATATACAACCTCGCATGCAAATAAGGTGATGAACCAAAGTCCTGTGCCTGTGGGTTATTGGAGAGCAATCTCGAAAACTTAGCTCTGCCCAATCAGAGCGCCAGAATCCCAAATGGCACTTTCACTGGTTAAGACGAAGCTGAAACCTGAACCAATGACACATCTGCTTTTTCGCGCCACAAACGTTTATAAAAAGTGCCGCCCGAGCACTTTCACTTTTGCAGCCACTTGCAGAGAAATTTATAGTCAGAATGTCCGGCCGCGGGAAGCAGGGCGGCAAGGCGCGCGCCAAGGCCAAGACGCGGTCCTCGCGGGCCGGGCTGCAGTTCCCCGTGGGGCGCGTGCACCGCCTGCTCCGCAAGGGCAACTACGCCGAGCGGGTCGGGGCGGGCGCGCCCGTGTACCTGGCGGCCGTGCTGGAGTACCTGACGGCCGAGATCCTGGAGCTGGCGGGCAACGCGGCCCGCGACAACAAGAAGACGCGCATCATCCCGCGCCACCTGCAGCTGGCCATCCGCAACGACGAGGAGCTCAACAAGCTGCTGGGCAAGGTGACCATCGCGCAGGGCGGCGTGCTGCCCAACATCCAGGCCGTGCTGCTGCCCAAGAAGACCGAGAGCCACCACAAGGCCAAGTAAGGAGAAAGCAGGCTAGGAACCTGGACAACAAAGGCTCTTTTCAGAGCCACTTACCCTTTCGGAAAAAGCTGAGCGGGTGACTTGTCCTATTCTCTTCGCAGACGTTTCCATTTTAGCGTTTGGCTCCAATGGGAGTGACAGTTTGATCTGATGATTTAAAATAGGCGGGAGTTCCTGGAACCCATGTTGGTAAATCCGTAATGCACCCTTAGGAATCGCCTGCATGGGAAGCCAGGTGGGGGAAGACAAACAGTCATAAAGCGGCTATTTAGATGGAGAATAAGTGGAGGTAAACGCTTTAAGTAAAGGAGCTACATGACCAGAGTCCTACCTAAATTGAGAAAAGGAATGAGCCCAGCAGATCTTAGGGGAAGAGGACTCCAAAGAGCGTGAAAATGCAAAGGCCTTAAGAGGAAATGTGTGTGGCCCTTCAGGGAACAGTCCATTATAATGCAAATCAGCGAGCTGGACTAGACGCCTAATGAGCCCATTAGTTAGGAGTCATCTTTATTGCACGCAGGTTCAGAGCAGATTTCCTCTGTCAAATTCTGAACCCCCAAAGGAGGAAGCATTCTCTTTTTTTTCCATCTTTTTAAGGTCCTTGTGTAAGTTATTTTTATAGACAATTTAACCTTGAGTACATATCATACCTAACAAACACCTGTAACCTTGAGTATCATATCTACAGGCACCTGGTATCAATGTCAGCATATCAGTTAGATGGCTAGCTTGCAAGGTCAGACAATTAAGTTTATCTTTCCTATTCAAGCAAAAAAACAAAGCTATTTTACAGTCTAAAAAATAACAAGAGTTGACCTACAGAATAAGAGACTGTCTAAGAATAACTAGTTCAAACAGCAGTGTTCCAACAGAGGGATTACTATGCTTCACCATGAGGCTATGAAGTAAAAGGTGGGTGTGGGGGTGAAATGGGACCATAAGTATAGAACTTTGTGGTTTTGTAAATTATGCACAAGTATTTAGCCCGGTCAGTGTGGCTCTGTGGTAGAGCATCGACCTATGAACCAGGAGGTCACGGTTCTATTCCAGATCAGGGCACATGCCCAGGTTGTGGGCTCCATCCCCAGTGTGGGGCGTGCAGGAGGCAGCCGATCAATGATTCTCTCTCATCATGGATGCTTCTGTCTTTCCCTTCCTCTCTGAAACCAATAAATATGGACTAAAATAAAAACAACATTAATCCTGATCTGACATAATACATTTGATAATATAAATTAACTATGGAATGCAACCTACTTTTTTAAAGAGACACCATAGAAATATAGTATTAATGTTAGCATGTGGTTTACAACCTGAAAGACTTGAGAGGAAATGGTCTGTAATTCAATACATAGATTTTGTTTGTTGCTTGTCTTTGCAGAAAGCATGTTGAGTAAAATAATAACATACAACAGACCCCTCCACACACAAAAACTCGGCGATGTAATGAGGCACGTTGGGCTCTGTGGGAGCAGGTGCTGAGATGGAGTTTGAAGTGGAAAATGATGATCAGGTCCCCAAACCTGAAGGGAGGAGAGTGTCACAGGCCAGGTAAACGTGGGGAGCTCTGGAGCCGGTATTGTCTGTTAAGAGGCGCTCCCACATTAGCTCAGTGTCCCTGGACCAGCCCTAGCATCCCCCCATTGCCCGTCATGGGATGTGGGAAGGACGGAGGGAAGGAGCCGTCTGCACTTGGCCGGGGAGTCTGGGCACTGCATTCGCATCCCTGAAACCTTACTAGTAACATGAGTAGAAAGGTCAGCGTGGTGCCCTAGCCGGTTTGGCTCAGTGGGTAGCTCTTCCGCCTGCGGACTGGAAACGCAGCGGTTTGATTACGTGCCTGATTTGTGGGGTCGATCCCCAGTAGGGGGCGTGCAGGAGGCAGCTGATCCATGATTCTCTCTCATTATTGATGTTTCTCTCTTCCTAACTCTCTGAAATCAATAAAAATATATATATTAAAGATCAACATGGAGCAATGTCTATATTGGCCCTTTACTTTTTTAAAAAATATTTTTTTATTGATTTCAGAGAGGGAGAGAGAAAAACATAATAATGAGAGAATCATGGATCGGCTGCCTCCTGCATGCCCCACACTGGGGATCAAGCCCACGACCTGGGAATGTGCCCTGACCGGGAATCGAACTGTGATCTCCCTCCTGGTTCAAAGATCACTGAGCCACGCAGGCGATTTGCAAAACAAAAGGACCCCCAGTTTGCCTTCGAGGGGGGGAGGGAACCCTGTGGTCACTGGTCATCAAACTTAGGACCTTCTGCATGTAAAGCAGACGAGCTAACCACTGCACTATGGAACCACTCACTCAGGGTGTTTGTGAGTCAAAGAAATGTTTATAATTCACTCAAAGCTAAATTTGGTGGGTGTTTGGGTTTTTTTGGTGCTAAATTCCATTTCCTATGCATCTCACTTGCGTAAGTTTGAAATATCTTCAAGTAGGGTCATTGTAAACTCACGAGGAAAAATGATCTAAAACCACATTCTTGACCCTGTGATCATGTCTCAGTCCAGGGTTACATATTCTGAGCGTCCGCCACGCCACGTGCCACGCACCTGTCAAGGCGCTGCCCACGGCGGGGCCACCTCTTACGTAGCGGGGCCTGCACAACCCGAAGCAGACACCAGGCGCGGGGTCAGAGGTCCCCTAAGTGGAAGCCACCGCTCCCGGGACCGGCCTTCATGGGGCTGGTCAGCACCGGCCGACTGAGGACCGCTCTCTGAGTTCTGCGTAAGATATTTGTGCATTAAGACGCTAGGGAGCCTGGCCGGGTTGCTCAGTGGTTGAGCGTCGGCCTATGAGCCAGGAGGTCAGGGCACATGCTCCAATTGCGGGCTTGATCCTCAAGTAGGGGTTGTGCAGGATAATTCATCATTGATGTTTCTCTCCCTCCCTCCCTCCCCCTTCCTCTCTTAAATCAATAAAAAGATATTAAAAGGGAGAGAGAGAAAGATGGGAGGGAATTAAGTAGAGGATGCCACCCCAAAATACATATGCCTCTGGCATTTTGATTATTTTGAATGCAAGACACTTGAAAACAACAGATTTTTTTTAAAAGGCATCCTTTGCAATTACATAAAACTGAGGAGGCTTAGATAACAAGGTGTGGGGTGCTACATGAGCACCCACATGTCCTGGACACCCTCACTGAACCAAAACTTTGGGCACTAGAAGACACAACTCCAACAGAATGTCACATACGAACCGGACGTGTATCTAGGTCTCCAGATGGATCAATGTCTCGAATGTGAAAAAGAAAACTGTGGGAACCCCTTTCACATCCTGCGTGATTCAGGGTTCCGGTTCAGGGTTCGGGTTCTGGAGAAGGCCGCACACAAATGAAAAGAGACTAAAAAGCATTAATTTGGGAAATGGGGGCCAGGCGGTAGTCCAACTCTAGTGGGAGGACTACTCGCTCTGGCTTTTCCATCCCTTTCATTAAGATTAAAGTTACAGGATACACCCATATGCCCTAGGCAGGAAACCCCAATAGAAGCCAATCAGTGAATTGAGGACTAACGGGTGGGGGCTGCTTCAACTACCAATATCTAGTCATTAGCTCTGGCCCTTTAGAGCCATGGTTGGCAAACTGCGGCTCGCGAGCCACATGCGGCTCTTTGGCCCCTTGAGTGTGGCTCTCCCACAAAATACCATGGCCTGGGTGAGTCTATTTTGAAGAAGTGGCGTTAGAATAAGTTTAAGTTTAAAAAATTTGGCTCTCAAAAGAAATTTCAATCCTTGTACTGTTGATATTTGGCTCTGTTGACTAATGAGTTTGCCAACCATTGCTTCAGAGCAATTAAGGTTGACCAGCCCTCCGAATTCTCTGTCCGAAAACCTATACATTTTTTTGAGAGAATATTCATAACCTAGTAACAGAGAAAGACCTGTTAAGCCTAACTTCAAAAATACAAGTCCTGCCCTAGCCGGCTTGGCTCAGTGGATAGAGCGTGGGCCTGTCACAGGTTTGATTCTGGTCAAGGGCACATGCCTGGGTTGCTGGCTCCATCCCCAGTAGGGGACCTGCAGGAGGCAGCCAATCAATGATTCTCTCACATCATTGATGTTTCTAGCTCTCTCTCCCTCTCCCTTCCTCTCTGAAGTCAATAACTTTTTTTTTTTTAAAAAAGTTCTGATCACAAGAACAACAACAACAAAAAATACAAGTCCTAAGTGGGAGGGGAGACAAATTATTAACCAAATTAGGTTCCTGCCATTAAGTTTCTCCACCGACAAAGTTGACAGGACATAACGGCAGACACTATTGCAAGGTCTAAAACTCCCAGCAGACTGATAACTATAGTCTGCAGTACACGCCTGTACACCACCATGAAAAAGACATCAGCCTCCATTTTTTTATGGTCCTCATTTTTAAAGTAACACTAACTGTATGGATGATGTCTCAAATGTATTCAATGATATTCGTCAGGGACTATCTTCTTTTGAAAAAAAGACATCAACCTCAATACGAACGCGGACAAACGATAAGCGTGGATATGCGTAAGCTGCAACTCGATGGCTGAACAGACGCTCCAAGTCTGTAAAGAACATGAATGCAAACCTGAAAGAGCAATGATGAGATCCCCTCCCTCCCACACCCTGGACTACGAAGCGGGAGCTGGGTACCTGGAGCCGGGCCGGCTAGAGCTGGCGGAGGGGAGGGTGGTCAGCCCGAGAACACACAGGAACTGACTAGCCTCCTGCTCCCGCCTGCACATCACAATGCAGTCCTCACACAAGTACGTAAAGGGGCTGGCGGGGTGTGTGTGTGTTGGGGGGGGAGGCGGGGAGGTTACCTGCAGCATTGGGACTGGGGGCCCCTGTGAGTCCATCCCTGGACAGCGGGCAGGAAAGGCCGTGGGCCACCGGCCTGCGCGCAGCGCCACAAGCAACGACTCGGTGTCCACAGGGCAACTCGGATGGATGTTAAAGCCACAATGTTTTTCTGAAAGACATAAGAATAGATATATAGCAAATGTATCATATGTGTACACAAAACAAAAATGTCAACTTTGTAAAAAAACAAACCAAACGTGATCAACAAGGTGCGCAGTCAACCAAGGAGCGAGGATGCTTGCTTCTGGGGAGAGGCAGGGTCTGCGGAGCAGGACACCGTCGGTCCAAACCCTCCGCCCAGTTTTTCAGTCTGAGGACAAGTCGGCACCGTGAGCAGAACAAACCTGTGCCCCCAACGTTTCACCGAACCCCGCGCGGAGCGGCAGGTCCGCAGAGGCCCAGGCTGGGCTCGGGCGAGGCGGGAGCAGGCGGCTGCGGGTCCCCTCCGCATCCCTGGGTCACCAGCTTCGCCTGCTTTTCTGTGGAAGCAGAAGGCGCAGGACGGCCTGGCCGTGGGCAGCGAGTTCGCTCAGAAGGTAGCACCGTGGGCTCAGTCACCTGACCACAGCGGAATCGGTTTGGGCGTCACTCGTTTGTTTGCGGTTTGGAAACCAAATAGTAAACACTTGCTTTCTTGACCTTCCTCTAGAATACAGATTCTACAGAAGAAGTTTCTGTTTTGTTTGCTGTTCTAGCTCCAGCACCTAGAAAAGTCCCTGAAATGCAGGAGTGGCTCCACATCTGTGGACAAAACGATTTACGTCATTAACAAAGACTCAAATTTAAAATGTGCTGCAATCTCCAGTATTTCCTCTAGATGGCGATAGACTCCATGAAATAGGAATTTCATTTCCATTTTAAATAATTTTTTTAAAAAACATTGCAGTACAGAATGCATTTTTTTAAAAAAATGTTGATGTTTCTGCTTTAGAACGAATTCAGAAATACTGACAGTCATAAAATCTCTGTCATAAAATCAGGTAGGTCTGGCAAATCGTTACATTTCACAGAAAAAGTTACAAATATGATATAACTGAACATTTACCTAAAAGGGGGCCCTGTGGCTTAGCTGGTCAAAGCGCCTGTCTAGTAAACAGGAGATCCTGGGTTCGAATCCCAGCGGGGCCTTCTCATTTGGTTTTGTATTTTCAATAGTGTACATACCACTAAATAAGGTACAGAGGCATTGAGGCATTTATATAGCTGATAGGGCCTGTATTGAATTGTTATTTCAACTGCAAAAGGTCTCTTAACAGATAATTGCATCACCGTATGAGGGACTGGCATGAAGAGAAAAATGAATGAGGTTTCTGTAGTTGATAGAAAACGATGCCTTTCAAAGGCAAGGAAAGTAACGGCAAAAATAAATGATGGGAGTACCTCAAACTAAACCACTTCTGCACAGAAAAATAAACCATCAACAAAGCAAAGCATAAAGGCAAACAACTAAATGGGAGACGATATTTGCAAATAATTCCTCAGATGATAGGCTAATATCCAAAATATATGAGGAACTCATACCCCTCTTCTGGGTATCCACATAAAAAAATTAAAAACATTTATTCGTAAAGATGTATATGTCCCTATGTTCGTTGAAGCATTGTTCACGGTGGCCAAGACATAGAAACTGAAGTATCCTTCGATGGATGGTTGGATAAAGAAGATGTGGTACATATATGCCAAAGAAAGGATAAAATACTGCCTTTTGTAACAACATGGGTGTGTATTTTTAATTTGAGAGAGAGAGGAAGGGAGAGGGAGAAAGAGAGAAACATTAATCATTGAGATTATCAAGCTAAGCAAAATAAGTCAGCCAGAAAAGGACAAAGACCATAGCTTTCACTCATATGTGTCATAGAAAACATAAAGCAACACACGGACAAACAAAACAAACTCATAGACAAAGACAACAGAATGGTGGTTGCCAGAGGGGAGGGGCCTGGGGTAGGATAAAGAGGGTAAGGAGGTCAAATATATGGTGATGGAAGGAGACTAGACTTTGAGTGGTGCGTATACAATGCAATGTGCATGTGATATAGAATTGTACACCTGAGACTTATATAATGTATTAACCAATATCACCCCAGTATATTTAATTTCATTTAAAAATGAAAACAAGAAAGTAATGGGTTCTCTGATGATTGGCAAAACTGGAATATGAACTAAGCAATAATCATTTAAAGTTCTGTCTTGGAAGTTCAGTCTTGGGTCTCTTAACCTGGGACAACCAACATTGTTAGCTACTAAAAAATGAAAAGTCAACCCAGTACACTTAAAGATTTAACTGGCTTTATTGAATCAGGGCAGCATCCCATCCAGTACATAGAAAGGTGCTTCAAGTTGTACAAAATGGAAGGTTTTGTAGGCAGAATGAGGGTGGGACAAGGAAATGAAAAGAGTGGGTCATTTCAAGCCATGTCACCTTGCCTAGGGGAAGGCAGATGACCTCACTAGTGCTGACCAGGAG